TTATCCCTAGTTTGACCCTTTGCCGGGGAAAAAGGAGGAAATGCCCGCCGGTTTTGGAGGCGAAGGGTGGACCCGGGGTTACGTTGGAAGGGGTAGCGTTATTTTGCCCCCGCCTGCAGATGGACAACAGGTGGTGCCACCTTGGCTGTCCCCACCCTCTCGCCGCCAGAGTAGAGCAAGAAAGGGTCGCAATCCCTTTTTCCGCTCTCGAATCCGGACGTTGAACGTGCGGCAGGGGGGGGGGGGGGGCAGCCTGAATGCCGAGCGCAAAGCGCGCAGCGCCGCCATCTCGCGTGCACACGCCCTGGCGGCGTCGCTCACTGCGCGGTGCAGCGCCTCTGCAAAAGCGCCCCGCCCCCGCCCCCGCCCCCGCCCTCGCCCTCGCCCTCGCCCTCGCCATCGGTCGGGAGGGGCTCGCCGAGGAGCGCCTCGAAGACGCGCGCCTCGAGCAGGTGCTCGGTCTGTTCACAGCGAGCCGGCGCGTGAAGAGACGCCGTCCACACACCGCCCTCGCCCCCTTCGACCGGGCCGCTGGCGCCGTGCGGAGGAGCGGCAGCGCCAGCCTCGCCTCCCTCCGGTGCTGCCGCAGCAGCAGCAGCAGGTCGGAGGCGACACACTGAAGGTGGCGGCGAGGCGCCTGCAGGGGAGGGATCGTCCAGGACACGTCTAAGAAACGGACCGGGACGGCTCCAGGAACGGTCCAGGAAGGGTCTAGGAACGGACCAGGAGGGCTCCAGGAACGGTCCAGGATGGAAGGGTCTAGGAACGGACCACGCTCGAAGCACCACCGCCAGGTGCTTGTCGAGCTCGGCTAGATCTCGCTCGTTCTCGGCTAAATCTCGCTCGTTCTTTTTTTTTGGAAAACTGTACCCCATGTCCCCCAATGTACCCCACGTTCCCCGACGGCCTTTGCCTGACATCCACACGAGGCATACCATGCACTTTCCTCGTCCGCTCGCGCTTGCCGCGCCGCATTGCGCCCGACTATGCCGCCGCGAGCAGCACGCCTAGACCCCCGCGACGCCTCTTGCTCACGGAACCCGCCGCCTCACCTCACCACCCCCACCACGCGATGCGCCCTCTCTCGCGGCGCGAGCGGCTGTACCCCCCTCGGCCTCGCACCGCCTGCCTACTCCCGCTCGCAGGTACAGCCGCTGCCATCGAGGAAGCCGCGAGACGCGTCCGCTGCTGCCCATTCCCCACCCTTGTCCCGCGCGCGACCACCCTCCCTCTCTTCTGGCAAGAGAGCGACCCGCTCTCGCTTGCTCGCCAATCGCCGCCCGGCTCCAGTCCGAGCGCCGAGGACGCGAGAGAGCGCGCCGGCGGCCTCGTCTCGACGCTCACGCCGCCGACGTACTGCCCGTAGGCTCGGCTCTCCTCTCTCGCTCTCTCTTCCCGTTCAGCGGCATTCATTTTTGTGTTTTTGTGCAGCCGCCGTCGCTGATTTCTTTTTATCCGTGTAGGCGAGGCTCGAGGGCATGGGGCGGGTGGGGGGGGGGGGGGGGCTGCGGGGCTGGGTGGGTGGGTGGCGGGCGGGCTCGAGATCGCGCGACTGATCGTTTCGTGGGGAGATTCCCCGAGATTTTATCATAGCCATAGCAGCTTTGCTCACAATCCGAGCAACATGCCTCCGATTGCGAGCAGTAGCGCTCGCAATCCTACATCTTGTAGGACTATGAGCGGCGGCGCTCACAATCGTACCCAAGATCCAAGGATTGCTAGCGTCGCACAGAGGGCGCTCCCAATCGCTCCAGCCGCGAGCGCTTGTGAGTGAGCGCGCCGGGAGGGTCTCCTCACAATCCAAACAGTGATCGCACCGATTGCGAGGGGACCCGCTCGCAATCCTAGAAGTCGTAGGACTGTGGGCGGTGTCGCTCGCAATCGGCGAAAGTTCTATGATTGCGAGCGCTCCTGCTCGCAACCGGAGGCATGTTGCTAGGATTGTGAGCCAAGCTGCTCGCAACCCTAGACTTTGCTCGGATTGCGAGCGCGCTGGTAGTAGTCGTAGGCGTCACCAGTCACCTTGTGAGCGGAGCTGCTCTTAGTCCTAGAAGACGTAGGATTGCGAGCGTAAGTGCTCACAGTCGCACAGAGATGCTACGATTGCGAGGAGTGCTGCTCACAATCCTTCGACTTCTAGGATTGAGAGCGAGGCTGCTCTCAATCCTAGCGGTCTAGAAAAGAATTCTTAAAATACAAGCCTCTCTCACAGCACACTGGCACGACAAGGGCGCGGACTGGCGCGGACTGGCACACACACCGGCTCACCTAGAAAATAAGGTTACCCACCCGTGCCCGGTCTTGGGCGCGTAAAAGACCCCCCCACAGGCGACGCTCGCGCTCCACCGGCACCGCTGCCTACGTTGTGCCCGATCTGTGCATCCACCGGTCTCTGCCGACCGGCATGCGCGCCTCCTGCCTCTTCTACTCCTTCGCGGCGACCGGCCTCGCCCTCCTTGTCCTCGCAAACTACACGCTCTTCGACGCCTCGCTGCACTCCCGCCGCCAGCCGCCCACCCGACCGCGGATGAAGAGAGAGACTGTGGTCGCAGAGACGGCAGTCCCGTCAGCAGCCTCCCACCGCGAGGCGGTGGTGAAACCCGGCGCAGCTGCCGGTGCCGGCGCCGCTTCCGCCGCCTCCTCTGCCGGCGGCGCTGCCCGCGCATCTGCCCTCTCCGGCTCTCTCCCGCAGAGCTGCAGGCCGACGCCCGACGCGGTGCGGCAGCGGCAGCTGCGGCTCCTCTCGGGAGGGACGTGCGTCGCGGGCAGCGTCCTCTGCGCGGCGCTCGCCTCCGCCCTGCAGAGCGGCGGCGGCGGTGGCGGCGGCGGCGGAGGCGGCGGCCGGCTTGTGGTCACCTCCTTCGTGGCGGGCCAGGGTGGCATGCTCGCCACGCTCTCCTCCACGGCGGCGGCGCTCAAGGCGCCCCTCCTCACACAGGGCCCTCGCACGAGTCTGGAGTGTGCGCCTCACAAGCCTGCTCCACCTGCACAAGCCTGCTCCACCTGCCACCCAGGTACCTCTCCTCGCCCTCGCACTCGGAGCAGGCGCCGCCTCGGACGGCGCTGCAGCCTGCGCCGCCGCAGCTGCGCCGCCGCCCGCGATCGCCGACCTCGCGGCAGGCGAGCCGCGACCCCGCCCTCCTCCGCCGCCCTCCTCCCGCTGCCCAGCCGCGTGGGCGCCGCCAACCCGACGCCTCTCCGCCTGCCGACTCCGCCTGCCGACTCCGCCTCCCCCGCCCTCACCTCCCCTTGCCCCGCCCTCACCGCCCCTTGCCCCGCCCTCACCGCCCCTTGCCCCGCCCCCACCGCCCCTTGCCCCGCCCTCACCGCCCCTTGCCCCGCCCTCACCGCGCCTTGCCCCGCCCTCACCGCCCCTTGCCCCGCCCTCACCGCCCCTTGCCCCACCCTCACCGCCCCTTGCCCCGCCCTCACCGCCCCTTGCCCCGCCCTCACCGCGCCTTGCCCCGCCCTCACCGCGCCTCCCCTCAGGCGAGTCGCTCCCTCCCGCGCCGTCCGCCGCCGCGGCTGGGCGCACGCCGCGCTCGCTCCGACGGCATGCGCGCCGCGGCACCGCGCCTGCTCACGCCTCCGGCTGTGGACAGGAGCACGCCTCTCGCCCTCAAGTGGCGGGCCCTGTCTGCGCTCCTCGCCTCGGGCGCGGAGCTGCTGTACGCGGACGCGGACGCGGTGCTGGGCGCGCCTCCCTTCGAGCTCGCCTCTCTCGACTCTGACTTCGAGCTCCTCTCGGACGGGTGGGACGAGGAGTCCGCCCACGGCTTCATCATGGGACAAGCCTAGCCGAGACCCGAGGCCGAGACCCGAGGACGTACCCGAGACGTACCCCGAGACGTAGCCCGAGACGTAGCCCGAGACCGAGCCGAGATGCGGCCGAGGTACCTTAAGGTAGCCCGAGGCCCCCTCACGGGCGCCGGCGGTGCGCGTGTGGACGGCGTCGCTTCACGCCTCGCTGCTTGGACAGGCGCCGACGACCCCTCGATGGGCTGGTCGCGCTACTGCGAGACGTCGGTCGTCGCCTCCCTCTCGCCCGCCCTCTTCTTCGCTCGCCCGACTCGCGAGGCGGTAGCCGTCGCGAACCGCATGGCGGCGCGCGCGGCGGCCGAGGGCTGGCCGGCGGCGGCGGGCGCGGCGTGGGGGGTCGGAGGCGGCGAGGAGGGCGGCGAGGGCGCAGCGCTGAGCCAGGAGCTGCTGCTCGCCGCGTTCGACGGCGTCTCTCGCGTCGGCGCTTCGGCGCGCGCCCCGCCGCCCGCCGACTGCTGGCTGCGGAGGGCCTTCACCGCCCCGCCCGTGAGCAGGTGCGCGTCCTGCCCGTCGATTGCTGGCTGAACGCGCGCTCGGCGCTGTCGCGCCTCGGCGCGGCGCCGGGCGGAGGCCCTCCCTCTGCCCGGCACGCGGCGCTGCTGCCTGGCCGCGGCGCGGCGGGCGGCGCGGAGCGGCAGGCGGCGGCGGCCGGCTCGTACCACCGCGGCGCGCCGCTCGGCGAGGCTTGGCGCAGCGCGACGACCGGGTCGCTGCAGCACCGCTCCGCCGTCGAGAGGACCGCCATCGACCCGCTCCAGCCGATGCGCCAGGAACGGTGGGACCAGGAGGGCTCCAGGAACGGTCCAGGATGGAAGGATCTAGGAACGGACCACGCTCGAAGCACCACCGCCAGGTGCTTGTCGAGCTCGGCTAGATCTCGCTCGTTCTCGGCTAAGTCTCGCTCGTTCTTTTTTTTTGGAAAACTGTACCCCATGTCCCCCAATGTACCCCACGTTCCCCGACGGCCTTTCCCTGACATCCACACGAGGCATACCATGCACTTTCCTCGTCCGCTCGCGCATGCCGCGCCGCATTGCGCCCGACTATGCCGCCGCGAGCAGCACGCCTAGACCCCCGCGACGCCTCTTGCTCACGGAACCCGCCGCCTCACCTCACCACCCCCACCACGCGATGCGCCCTCTCTCACCGCGCGAGCGGCTGTACCCCCCTCGGCCTCGCACCGCCTGCCTACTCCCGCTCGCAGGTACAGCCGCTGCCATCGAGGAAGCCGCGAGACGCGTCCGCTGCTGCCCATTCCCCACCCTTGTCCCGCGCGACCGCCCTCCATCTCTTCTGGCAAGAGAGCGACCCGCTCTCGCTTGCTCGCCAATCGCCGCCCGGCTCCAGTCCGAGCGCCGAGGACGCGAGAGAGCGTGCCGGCGGCCTCGTCTCGACGCTCACGCCGCCGACGTACTGCCCGTAGGCTCGGCTCTCCTCTCTCGCTCTCCCTTCCCGTTCAGCTGCATGGCCCCCTGAACCCCGGCGACTCACATCGTCATGGAAGAACGCGGTTCCTCGTTCGCGCCGCCAAAGACGGCGTCCAAGGTTGCGGTGGTCGTGGACCCCTTCTCGACCGGCGGC